AGCTCATGGAAATGAAAACTGTGCTAAAATTTTTTCCTTAAATTCAATAAAATTTTTGGAACATAAAGTCAAGGGACTATCTCAGAAGTTAGAATCAGAAAACAAGTACAGAAAATAAATAAGAAAATTAGATGATCAATTCAACAGAGCCAAAAACCAATGTCCAGGAGTTCCAGGAAGAGGAATTATTAAAATATATAGCATGAAAATATTTTAAAATAATAGTACAAGAAAATTTCTTCAAACTAAAGAAAACAAACCTCCAGATTGAAAAGGGCCTACTGAAAACCTAGCACAATGCATGAAAAAAGGCCCATCCCAAAGTCTAACATTGTAAAATTTTAAAATTCCAGGGAAAAAAATTATTATAAAATCTTTCAGAAACAAAAAAGCAAATCATAGACCAAGTATTAGGAATCAGAATGGCATAGGGCTTTTAAATTGTAATATTACAATCTTGAAGACAGTGGAGTAATCCCTTAAAAATCCTGAATGAAAATTAATTTCAGCATAGATATTCATACCTAGCCAAATTATCAAGTGTATGCATAGAACAACAGCATTTTCAGGCATACAGATACTTTTTGAAAATGTATTATTCATGTAACCTTTCTTGTGAAAGTTACCTGGAGAATGTATTTCAACCAAAAAAGGGAGTAAACTGTAAAACAGGATGACTTAAAACCCAGAAAATAGGAAACTCTAATAGGAGCATGGGTAAGGCTTAACCCAAGACAGAGATCAACCAGGCCAGACGTAAGTCACCAAGAAGGATATATCTAGGAAAATAATTTAACAGAACTGATGATTTATCTGATATGTTTCATTATTTGAGAAAATTTTATTGATGGGTATTTGAGTGACCTGTTTGAACATTTGGGGAAAAATGTTACTTACCTAGAAAAATAACTATTAAAAAGCAAGCAATTAATTCTACATAAATAATAAAATGTTTTACAAGAAAATTAATTTAAGCAGAATAATGCTTGTCTCAGTAGTGAATAATATTTCTATAATCATTATAATGTGAATGAACTACTGACTAATGATTTAACCAAAATTGTTATATGGGAGGATGAGGTAGGTATATTGGGTGGTATAAGAGAGCTAAATCACTACCTTTTTTAATATAGGAAGTCAGTAGATGATGTCTAATGTAGCAAAATCAAGGGATAGCATTATAAGTCTGTTACTTAAAAGTATGAAGATAAATATCAAGGGTGGATACTGTGTGCCATTGAGGATTAGGCTTGGAGATGGGTGTACTATCTGACTTAAATTAGGCACATTACTTTGATAAGAAAATCTAATAAATAATTATAATAAAGTTTACCATGATTAATAAGAAGATTTGGTACATTACAGATTATAAATGAACAGTAATGAGTCTCCCTTTCTCCACATCCCATCCTTGGTACTATTCTCCTGAGGTAGCCACTTTTAACAGTTTCTGCTTTTAGTTATTCCTGTGGTTAACATTCATGACTTGGAGTGTATCTTTTGGTACAGTGTAAAGCTATCTGGACTCGTCTTTGCCTGGTTAGCCAAAAGATGGGCATATCAAACTGCATTGTACATTTCAGGTTAATAGTGTACTTTGAGAGTAGTGTACAATTGGCCTACGACTGTTGTTGGTCTTTAATCCCTGAACCACTACATACAGCCAAGGAAGCAGCCTTGACCTAGTTGGGTGAGGCAAAGGGTTACCCTGCCAGTGGGAGTATGGCATTTCTGGCAAGAGATTCCTCTTCTAACTATTGGAGTTGGTGCCATGGCAGATTTTCCTGACTCAGGGAGTAAGTGTTGAGCCCTGGTCCAGCTGGTTAGATTATTTGTTGATTTTGATTATCTGCACCAATAAGCTGTTTCTCTGGCACAGATAATCAGAAGCAGGCAGTAATTTTCCATCTTCCTAGCAAAAATGCTTTTTGCATTTTGAAATTATAATAAAGTTTTATTCAGTTTTCTCCAAAATAGGACTTTATCTGGAAATTTTATTGAACTAAATCAAGAACTCTTTAGTCCTCAGTGATAACTATATATCCTTAGGCAGGTCTTCTTCTTCTACTTATATTTTTGCTCTTCTTGAAAGACAGAGAAAAATCAGTAGTAATGATACTAGCTGTCTTTTTTTCAGCTCTTACTATATGCTAGGCACTCTGCTAAGTACTCATCATCTCATTTTATCTTCACAGTAGTTTTAGGAGCTTGCTAGAGTTATCACTCCCATTTTAGACTGAAGAAACTGATAAGAGTTGTGTCACTTGTCCAAGGTCACAGAGCTGGAAAGTGCCAGAGCTGTGTCTGAAACCCTGATTTGTGTTGACTCTTGGGCCCATGTTCTTTATCTCTGTGTTTGACTGACTTTCAGTGTGGCCTCTGACTTTTTATTACATGAGATTAAGAAAGCAGCTGCTTTATGCTTAAAACCTAATTACCAATGTAAGGTTACATACGTTGTTGTTGTTGGAAAATACTTATAAAACTTGTTGCACATTTTCTTTTTTATTTTAATTAATTAAATTTATTTTATTTTTGGCTGCATTGGATCTTCGTTGCTGTGCGCAGGCTTTCTCTAACTGCAGAGAGTGGGAGCTACTCTTATGGTGCGTGGGCTTCTCATTGCAGTGGCTTCTCTTGTTGCGGAGCACGGGCTCTAGACGCTCTGGCTTCAGTAGTTGTGGCACGCGGGCTCAGTAGTTGTGGCTTGTGGGCTCTAGAGTGCAGGCTCAGGAGTTGTGGCGCACAGGCTTAGTTGCTCCGCGGCATGTGGGATCCCCCAGGACCAGGGCTCGAACCTGTGTCCACTACATTCGCAGGCGGAATCCTAACCACTGCACCACCAGGGAAGTCCTTGTACCTTTTCTTTTGAAGAAAGTTTGGAATTTTATACATTTTCTATTTCTGTCATTTTTTTGTATCCTCTCAATTCAAAATTCTTTGTTGTCTCCTGATAGCTCTCCTTTTATTGATATTTACATATACTCATCATGTTCTCTTTATACTTCTGTTTTAAGTGTCTCTGCTTCTCATGTTTGGAGTATTGCACCTGTCTTTTTGTGGTCTCCCTACTGCCAGTCTCTACTATCTTAATGATCGTACACATTGATCCAGTTTTTTGAAGCTCTGCTCTCATATTGCATACCTGTTTAAACCATTTTTTCCTCATTCTCTATAAGAAAAATACAGCTTTATAAATCTAGAATTCAAGATGTTTCATAATTGGTCTAATCTATCATTGCATGAGTTTATGTGGCCTTACCTTCTTTCCCACTTTTCTTGCCCATGCTAGTGTATCCCTAATCTGGCCTACTGAAGCACAGATTTTCTCTAAATCTCATTTGTTGTTTTTTATATGCTTTGTATTTTGATAGTCTTTTTGTGTGTTTTTGTCTCATTTACTCAACTGAATTGTTACGTCCTGAGTGTAGAGATGGAAACTCTCTGAGTCCACCATAATATTTAGTATAGATTCTTGCATATAGCACTGTGTAAAAAAATTAATGAATGAATTTTTGAAATTTTAAAATTAATGTATAATTCCAATTCTATATTTCTTTGCTTTTTTGTTAATTTCATAAATGTTAGACAAAATTTAGGAGACTTTTCTATTATATTTTTCCATCTCTTTATTTATGTTTAGTTATGAATGGAAATATATTGATATAACTTTAACGGTTAAAAATATTTTAAACAAATCAGTTTCACTTAGTATCCTAATCTGAAAGATATAGAAAATCTACTCTGAATGAAAGCAATATACTCATTATTATTTAGGATTTTTTAAAATAAATAACTTATAGTAAGTTGTTTTATTATATTGTTGGTAATGTACAGTTTTGATGGGGATAAACTGAATATTTGTAGTGTAATAAATGTAGAAAAATAAATTACTTAGTTTATCCTGCCTGATATATTAAATATAGTTGTAGATTGTTCAGAATGTTGAGTAATGACATGAGGAAATTAGAATGTACTTAAATACCAAGTTTAAAACTCTACTTAGACATGGTTTTGTTTTCCAAGAGTAGATTGCATTTTTGTGTATTAAAATTGCTTCTTGCTTTCTGCTGAATTTGAAAACGTTTCAACCCTTTACTTTCCCCTTTTTTGTTTTTCTTGTTTTAAGAGTCTGAATATTTATCTCTTCTATTTTCTTTTGTTTTTAAATTATGGATGTTCCATAATAAATAAATATTTGTACTTTAATGTATAAATTATTTAAACTATGTTCTATGTAACATATTTTTGCTTTGAAATATTTGAGTTTCAGTAAAAAAAGGATAATTTCATACTGAGACCAAAGAATAAACTACCATAAATTTTCGTATATTTTAGATGTTTATTAATCTTAGAGTGCTTTTGTTGCCTTTTTAAAATGCAATTATAATGCAGTATTATTTTAGCTCAGAAATGTCATACATTCAAAACACTTGAAGGTTCTCATGCTTTATTTTTTTCCTAAATTATTGTTTTCCAAATAATATTGTGCATCATAATGATGCCTTCTTTTACACCTCACATTTTTCTAAAAGATATCTTAAATTATTTTACGATCTAATTTGGTTTTCAAAACATCCAAATGAAACCATAAATGTATCTTTTAAAAAAAAGAGTCTCATATTTGATGTAAATCACTGCACATGTCTGATCTAATCTCACAAACAGAAATGTTGTATTTTAAAAATAGTGACTTTTTAAGTTCGTATTATTTTTTAAAGGGACTGAGCCTTAGATTCAAAGTGCAGATTATCCATTTTGACTATTCTCATTTAATCATTTCATTTTTAAAATTAGACTGAATCTTACGATCTGAAAAATCCTCACTAATGTGCAGTTTGGGCTGTGTTAGTTCCCTTTGTCATAAAATGGAAGCTAGCCTAAATTTTCTAATAATTTTTCATCACATTAAAATTCATGGCAAAAATAAAAATGAGATAATTTTGAATTCAAGTGCATATATTTTATAGGATGCTTTTTCCCTCTTCTCTCTACCTAAGGAAATAGAGAAATTGAGTTTAGAACTGAGTGAAAGCAAGCAGCACTTGGAACAGGAGCAGCAGAAGGCAACCCGGGCCAGAGAGGAGTGCCTGAAACTGACAGAACTGCTGGGCAAATCTGAGCACCAACTGCACCTCACCAGGTACTGCCTAATCCCATTATGCACCATAGCACCAATTTCATTCCACTGATTTTTGCCACAGGCTTCCAAACAGTTGTTAGAGTTAAGTCTTAGTCATTCAATTAACACACAGTTTTCAGGCATATTAAGAAAAGTGGAGATGTGGTAAGCAAAACACCCAGACACGTGAATGATAAGTGTGGCAGGGAATTACTGATATATTACAAAACCTTTCATCTACAATGCTCAAATATTTAGGTGATTCTCTATCAATATAAGCAAAATGACATATTTCTTCTACCACTACACTACCTCTCCTGTTAATTCTGTGTCTAATAAAAATGTTGAACTGAAGTATCTGAGGAATATATTTAGGGAAATAATCAGATACTGTCAGTGGTGAAAGAGACAAAGTAAAAGACATTCTAAGATGCAAACTGAGATGGAACTGATACAAAATAAGCAACCTGAGTCCTAAGGAGGTGTAAAATTTAAGAGATGAAATTGATTAGCACTGTTCATGTTTAAACCCTTACTATAACCATGCTTACACTATCGTGATTTCAAATTACATTGCTTCCATCATGAGATATTGTGATGTGATCATCATTGTCATAAAACTTTAGTAAACATGTAGCTCAGCCCTAAATTACAGTAAGACATTTTTGGTAGTAAACATTGGGCAATTTGCTGTATTGAAAACACACACACACATACATAAATATACACAGAGAAAAATTTAAACTGAAATTGTAGGTAAGTCACATTACCATATAAATGGGTTCCTTTTCCCTTTGAGTTTTAGTACAATTTTTCAGTTTTCAGATCAAGGCTTTGGGTTTGTTCAATTCTTAGAGTTTTTCAGTTTTTAGAGAGAACTTTGTGTAAATACACATGTAAGTTTATAGAATCTGGTTTATTCATAAATTAGAAAAACACTGGTCTTCTAATCATAGTAATATGTTGAATTTAAACTATGAAAGGGGACTGATCCCTTTTACATTAAATATGACAATGTAATTCTGAGCACGGTATGATAACAGATGGAGAAAAGCACCACTTGAACAGCCTGCATTTGGAGAAAAAAAAATATTCTAGAGGTTGGTGAACCTCCCAAAGTTTTGGGTTAGTGTTAAGATGCCTCTAGTTCTGTTAAAATCAAACTTGGTTAAAAACATTTTGTTATGATAATATTCCAAATGGTTTACCAACTTCCTTTTTAAACAATGAAAGATAAAGAGAAGAAAGAAGGAGAAAGAGAGAAAGGAAAAAATGAAAGAAAGAAAGCAAATCATTTATACATGTGTGATATCTGGAAAAATCCCAAGAGATGAAACACTTTAATGATAAAAAATTGCTTAATATTGCAGAATAGTAACTATTCTTTTCATGCCCATTTAGAGTATTGTCATTATAGAACTGAGAATGTCATGTTAACATAGTTCCTATGGTTATTTAATCTTAGAAGTTTTGGAATTTAGCTTGATCATGATAGTTAATCGTTCTTCTTCTCTGTCAGACTTCTATTGAGAACCAACCATTTGTGTGCTAAGTACCACTAACCCACAGAAATTGGACAGCTTTTAATGTCTCAGTGTGGCTGAGCTTCAATAAATAAATATTAATGCTGGTTTTGTCCCCTTTGCCATTCTGTCTTATTCAGAGAGTTCATTTCTGAAGTCAAAGTCCATAGAGAGCTTTCCTGTGCAGTATCAATTTGTACTGTCTGACAAGATCCATTTCTTGCAAGTAAAGCATATTAAGATGCAGCAACTGCTGAAAATGGACTGGTGGTAACTAATTCCTTTGTTCTTAAGAAAAACGGTTTTGCTTGGTTCCATAGAAAGCTTTTTCTATTGAGCTTTATTTACAACAAGTCTACCAAAATTTAACTTAGTCTTATAGAAAATAAAACTTAATTACCTATTTTCTAAAAGTAGTACTCTTTTGTAAGCATTTTACACTTAGTCTATATTGATGTTTTATAAAATCCACATTCATAAATTTAAAGATGACAATAAAAAATGGAAGGAACTGTGTATATCTCTCTTTTGCACTGAAAATGTGACTTGGTTGTTGGGCTAAATATTTCTGATATATAGTTTGGGGTTTTATAGAGTTTGCTTCCCTGCACCATTCTTTATTGATTCATATACTCAAGTGTGTGACTGGGAAACTTCATGTCTTTCTTTTTCAGTGTAAACCAGCTGAAATAAATAAATCCCACACAGGTAGTGCTTCATTTAGTCTAATTTAAATATTTTGAGTGGCATATTCTAAACAAAGTTTAAAATTAAATATGAAAAAGATGATATAAAGTAATGATAAAATAAGGATTCAAATCTTCTAGGGCAAAGACAATTAAAACTGGGGTAGAAATCCATAGGCCAATCTGAAAGAAAAATAACCTGTCACTTTTTTGGAATTTCCCTTTATTGTCTAATTGGACTTAAAAATGGAAAATTGAAATTCATTTATTGAAGGACACAATTAGTAAATATAGCATTCACTTATTTAACAAGTATTTATTGAGCACCTACTATCTTTTAAGTACACTGGATGGCCCTGGACATAGAGAGAAAACAAAACTCAGTTCCTACCCTTAGGTTGTTCACACTCTACTAAGGAGCCAGATCTATATATGCAATTATGGTAGAGTGTGATAACAGTGTAATTAGAGAAGTGAAGATTGCCACAGGAGCACATATAAAGGAGAACGGGCTCATTCTACATTGCCGCTGAAGGTGATAGGGAAAGCTTTCTGAGTTCATGAATAGGAGTCCTCAGAGTGGAGAAAGGTGGGGTGAATACCCCAGGTAGAGGGAACAATATATGCAAAGACATAAAGATGGGAGGGAATATAAACTCTACAGTCACATTAGGTGTTTGGCAAGAGATAAACCTGGAAAGGGGAGAGGAACCAGAGGAAGGGTCTTGTGGGCCATATTCTGGAGTTACTCTTGATGTACTTTAATCAGGGCTGCCAACATGATCAACTTTTTGGGTTGGGATCCTGACTCAGACAGCCGTGTGGAGAGTGAACTTGGAGAGTTGTTGTAGGAGACAAGAAGGCCAGTTAGGACAGAGGTGGCAGCTACAGCCTATAGGCCAAATCTGGCACATCATCTGTTTTTTTATGGTCCATGAGCTATCAATGTTTTCTATATTTTTAAAGGGTTGGGGAGAAAAAAGAAAAACAATGTTTTATGACACATAAAAATTATACATGCATAAGTAAAATTTTATTGGACACGACCATGATTATCCTTTATGTATTATGTATAGCACTGCCATGGCAGAATTGACTATGGTCCTCAAAGCCTAAAATATTTATTATCTGGCCCTTTATAGAAAACATTTACAGTTCCTCAGTTGCGAGGCTGTTTAACTCAAGTAAGAAGTCAAGAGAGCTTGAACTATGATAGGATCCAATGTATATTTAAAGAAGGTAATTGAAAGGCACTGTGAAAACAGATTGGTTGTGGAAGAGATGATTGGCAGAGACTCCAATTAGAATATAAGTACAGTAGTAGTCCTCAGCTGTGACTGAGCCAGTAAAATGGAAAGGAAATAGTATCTTCAAGAGGCATTTAAGGTAGTGCTAAGAGAGGCTAGAATTACAGGTGATTCCAAAGTTTCTAGCCTGTGTTAACTGGATGATCCATCAATTCAACTAGGGAATGTAAAAGGAGTAGCAGAGGAAAGAATATGTTTTATTTCGGAACTCCGATGGAGATGTCCAGTGTAGATCTAGCATGAGGAGAAAGATCAGGACGAGAGGTTTAGATCTGGATACTTTTACATAAAGATATTGTAGCCGAAGGAGTGGGTGAAAGCATGTAGAGAGGACCATGTTTTCAAGTACTGTGGAAAAATAGCTAAGGAGACTGAAATGGGACCTTCAGTGTATAAGAAAAGAATAAAGAGTGATTCAAAGTATGCTTTTGGTGAAGTAACAATTAAAACCACACACTTTACTAAGGGTGTGGGGGGGCGGTTGGTAGGTATCCTAGGGTTAAGGAAACTGAGTTATAGTATCTTCTCACAGGCATTCACTACCTTTGCAACTTTTGACAAATTACTTAATTCTTTGAACCCACATAACTTACCTATAAAACTAGGTTAGACTAGATCATCAAGTTTCCTTCCAGCTCTGATAGTCAATGATTCTAACAATGATTTAAGACAATGCATTATTAAATTCCTGTTTCTGGACATTAGATATTTAAATTGCTTGGAGTATCCTGTGTTTAAAATGTTTCCTTAGTTTGAAGCCCAAAGAGGTTTCATAGAAATGTCCTTCCTACCCACCATTTACATTCATCATAATTTAGGCTCTGCCAGCTTCTCATAAGGGTTATGAAAATTCTCTCCTAACATCCTTCCAGTCTCTTGTGCCAGCCACTGCTAAGTGGATATCCATAAGCACTGTCTTGACTCTGTTACCTGCTCTCAAAACCTTCCTTGGTGCCATGCTATTGTAGAAGGTCCAGACCACTCAGCATTTAAGGTTGCCTGACAGGCTCCCAACCTTCTGGTTTTATTTCATTGCTACCAGTTTCATCCTCTCACATGCTGATTTCCAACATGTGATTTAAGCAGATGCAGCCCTCCTTCAACTTTTGGACTTTTCTCCCCCTTTACTGTTCTCTGCACCCAGAATACCCCTTTGAGCTTCTCTAGCCCTATTGTAATCTTACCTTCTTTTCCAGGTCTCCCTGAAATCCTGATTTTTCCACTGTAGTCCTGCCTGATGACCCATGCCAGAGGGAGCACGTTTCCCTCTGAATCATCCTTCCCACTTAGAGCTGAAGGCAATTCCTACTACTGAATAAATTCCTCAAAACAGGAAAAATGAAAATCTGAAAAAAATAAATTCATACTCTGAAGTTTTTATGTACCTGCTAGTCTTCCCTTCTATAATGCATTATTCCTCAAGTGGGAGGAGAGGCCTTATTAATATTATATTTTTTAGAGCACCTACCTCAGCCCTTTGCAAAGAGTTGGAGCTCAATAAGTCA